TATATATATATATATATATATATATATTCTTGTTCCTTAGATTTTATTTTAAGATATTTTTGGTCTCTTGCAGAGGTTATTGTATGTCTCAGTAACAAACATGATGACTTAAAAATATTGTTAATTTTTATTATTTGTTATGTCCAAATAACATCTGTTAATTTCTCAAAGCTCACGAGGACTATAGCTCTAGTTCTGTAACCAGCAGCATCTCTAACTCATTATTTCTACAGCAGAAAGTGCCATAGAGGACTGGTATCTCTCAAAACTTCAGCTTCTTATCTGCTACCAGAGATAACCAACCTGAAAGTGAGGGAAATTATTATTATTATTATTTTTATGAGGCAAAAATCTGCATGTTTTAAAATAAACACGCCTCATTAGAACAACCAAACAAACAAACAATCAAAGCTGAAATGCTCTGTATGCTCAATATAAATACATAGAAACCCCGCAAATACATTAAGGCAGGGACTTGAATCCTTCCCATTATAAAGTGACACTATATCCTGATCACGTGGACTTAAATTACAAGTCAAAAGAACAAGAATGTGCAAAATATATATACATGCAATGTGAACTACAGATCAGTTTTTGTTCAGTGAGATCCACTGAATTGACATTGAGGTTTCTGTACCCAAAAATATATTGTGGACCATGACACTAAGACTAAGTAAAAAAAAAAAGATGGTTGGAAATAAGGAAAATTAAAACTTAATTTTTGAACCACTTGGACGGAAAGACTCAACCGAATAATTGGTAAATGCGGTCCAACAAATGGGAAAAGATTAAAAGATGTAGTGTTGAGACAGATGTCAGATGGATGCAGGTGAATGATCTTCTCGTAAAGCCCATGGGGCTTCTCTCGTTAAACTCAAACACAAAGCAGAACTGGTACTCACTTCACTTTCTCAGCCGTCTGAACAGCCGGCAGCTCGACCGTGACCATGCCGTCTGAACTGGTCTTGCCGATCAGGTAGGGTTTGGTGCGCAGTATGTCAGGTGCTGTCATGGTGGAGACACGGTGCTGCAGTCCTCCGGCGCTGTTCCCACGGTTGGTGAGCAGGAAGGAGTACTGCGTCTCCGGCTGAAGGTTGGTGATGAGCTTCTGCGTCAGCTTCCCATCCACCTCCACACTCTGGCCGTTATCATACAGGATCTACGAGGAACCACCGTCACGCCAGACTTTAACCAGTTTTAATGTGTTAGCTGGAGCTAGTGATCCAAAACTTAGTGTGCAGCCTGTGTAGGCATCATTTTAAGGGATGCTTCAAAAGTTAGGCAGCATTAAGAAGATACCTTCTTTTTGCCAAATATTAAATCATAATTGCATCTATCCATCATGCTGTTGTTAGTGCTACTCTGCATTAGAAGGTCCATTGTGAAAAAGAAGTAGATACTTAAAAGTACATACTTACTGCATAATTAGCATACTAAAGAGTATTTATTACAGAAAAAAATATACTTTTATATAATATACTTAAGTGTGAACTGCATCACATTTTTTCAGACACTTAACTGCATTTTACTTGCAATTAAATTAAAATGTATTATAGTTTAAATATATATTAAATACACAGCATAACTTTAGTGTTTTTGACCCACTTAAGTAGGACTTAAGTAAATTTTTTATATGCAATTTCATAATTACTTATGTTGTCTTTGAAATATGGATAAAGTACTGCTGAATGTACTGACAAAACCAAAATATACTTTATAAAATTTTGCTTTAAAAAAAAACATACTTTATTGACGTTTAGTGCAACTTCGTGTATTTAAATGCATTTGTATATTTAGTGCAATTTGATGCATTTAAAATATATAAACTTGTAAAATGTAAAGTTGGAATAACACACAATTAAAATGACAATCAAGTACTTTACATGTGCTTTAGTGTGTTAGTCAACACATCAAAATAAGCTTACTTCTTTAATACACAACAAAATATTATTAAAACATAATGATTTAAAATTAACTTTAAAGTTAATTTAAGACATTATTACAAAGGTCACTTTTTTAAAAGAAACAGACATGAAAGTGTCTCTTTAAGTCACTTAAGTGGACTTTATTTTATTAATATTAGATGCAAGGTTTTTTTTAAAAGCTTTTAAGTACACTACAAGTGCACCTTCAATACAATTAAGCACACTTCTTTTTCACAAAGGGAAGCTGGCTATGTAGACGGTTTGTGGCTCACAGAACCTCACGCACGTCTCTCACCGTAAACGGCTGCGCGGGGTTGTAGTTCTCGGGAATCTCCCACGTCAGCAGCACCGAAGTCTTCATGGCAGCTCTCACGTGAAAATTTTTTGCAAACACTGCTAAAAGAAAGTTGGGGAAGATGAATTAGACAAACAGATCCGCAGCGCTTGGTTTCACCACCTTTTAGGAAGGCAGCTAGTCAACATCAGCCTTACCTGCCAAGCACTTCGCCTGCTACCTCATGAGGACTAGCCCAGAGCTCCAACCTTACCTGCAGCTTACCATCGACTCTCCGCAGGATGCTAACTGATCTCAACTAGCTATGCTAGGGGCATTTTCAGATTCGATTTGCTTCTGAAAACCAAACTCTTTCTCACAGGTGACTTAAGGTTGTAGGAGAAGGCAAACGGGGCCGAGAGGGTGTTGCGAGCCTCCTACCTTGGTTGATGGGTTGCGTTCTGAACTGGACGCTAGGACTGTAAGGGCCGGGGCCCTTACTGGTGAAGGCACACATTTTAATATCGTACGTGGTGTCTGCTTTAAGGCCGTCCAGTGTGACGGTGGACTCGGGTGCTGTGATGAACAGTTCTGAGGGGCTGCGAGGGCTGTTGATGTCTTTGTACTGAAGGGCGTATTTGATGACGGCTCCGTTGCGCTCGGCTAACGCCACAGGCTGCCAGCTGACCTGAATGGTGGTGGTCGTGCTACTTTGGGCTACGATGCCTTGTGGGTAACCGGCAGGAGTGTCCTCGGGCGTGGTGATCTCCTTCACCGTCTCCTCTCCGAATCCCACCCGGTTGCGGGCCGAGAGGCGGAAGCTGTAGGATGCCCCCTTGTGGATCTCTTTGGTGGTGTAATGGTTCTCACGCTCGGAGAACTCGATCACGGTCAGGGGCTCCACGTCCTTGCGGCCGAACCGCAGCCGGTAGCCTTGCAGCAGGCCGTAGGTGTTTGTCGGTGGGTGCCACTGCAGTAATGCCGTGCCCATGTTCGTCGGACTCACCATGAGACGAGGCTTTCCCGGAACTGAGAATGGACAGACAATACAGAGAAACGTACCGCAGTTTAGAGGTGGGCGACTGGACCTGAATCAAACATCACAATACATGTCAATATGTATCGATATAGAGCACAATATAGACATTTTTGCTGGAAATACAGTTCTCATGATATGGAAACCAGTAAAATCTCGCAATTACGATATCACAGCAATAACTAATGCTGGATTAACTAATCCAAGCAATAGAAAAGTACAGCAGTTTAGAGGTCAATGATATGACCAAAATCTTATATCAGAATATGAGTAATTTCATAATAACAATAAATACTATATAACAATATAGTTAGTTGGTTACATTACCCAAATAATTGGATACCCCTAATTTCGATATCAGCACAAAAAAAACAAATGCTATCTTACATAGGGTAAATAAATGCAAGTCATGTCGTATTTATTTCTATAGTGTTTTATGCAAAACAGATTGTTTATAAGCAGCTTCAGTGCAATAAAGAAGCAAATCAGTGTTAAATTATGAAATCGATTATGGAACTCATTTTGTTTCAGCTGTTAAGCAGCTCTACAGAAGACAGTAGTGTTATTATTCAGCTCAATTCAGATTCAGTGTTTCAGATTCATTTCAGTTCAATAACAATGAATGCGAAAGTGATTTAGTCAAGAGCAGCGAGTGATTTTCTCTTTTGTTTTTTGATTAGCATCAATGACAGACAACAGCGGGCATGTAAGGCTGCTGTCACTTTAAGACCTAACGCATGGATCCAATATATTGCTATACAGAGGATTTTCTCCCAACTGTTTGCATTCACTTAAGACATGGCTGACAATGCTTACATAAATACAGCATTTTTGTGTGAATTTTACCATTTGTGTGCAATAAGCAGGAAAAAAAACTCTATTCAGACAATGTGCGAGTACCAAAATGTGTTACCAAATTTTGCATCTTGTTGCACTTAAGCGGTTTAAAATCACTTGAATGTTTAAACTGGCAAAAGGTTCAAATGCATGCAAATGCTACATTTTCTTAATGATACAGTGCTACAATATCATCGTGCAGTGTAACCACAGACTGAAATCTCTACCGGTTGACAAATGTCTAATGTTTTATCACGTCCGCCTGTAAATCGCCCACTCCTGCGACAATCAATGCTGTAGTGGTTCTCAATAGGACAGCAAAATAAATAAACATCCAGCTTTTGAACTGTTAAAATGGAAGTGAAAACGCATCTTTTTTTTTTTTTTGATGTGAAAGGTTGTGTGTCCAATCAATCTCTACAAATGTTTCTTTAAATTAAAACACAACTATCCAAGGAAAAATAGAATATAATTAGGATGATGGTAAATATAAGTCAGTAATACATCGGCCCTGAAGTTGAAAGCAAAACCAGTTTAGGCTCACTGATCTAACATACAGCCACCGATCCTCTTAATATTGCACTGCTGTATCTATCCCCCTAATTATCCAGGCGAAAACCCTGCGAGTTTGACCATTTGTAATGATACAATATCAAATAGAAATTAACAGTGATACTGTGCACCTTTTCACAGTCATGTGCTCAAGGACAAAAGTGAAATAAAAGGCCTTTCAGGAGCTGAATAACAGCACAATTAGAGGTACAACAGAATAGCGCCTGCACTTATAAGCGATTGTGCGTTTCGAGCCTTTCAGTGATAATCGAGACAGTGTATCGTATTCTTTTCTTTTGAAAAAGTCTATTTTGCCACTTTCCTGACGGATTTTTCCATTATTTCCTTAACCCCTGCGAGCATTTCAAAGTCAGAGCCGTAGGTGAGTGGAATTACAATCGCCGTCATCACTGCGAGGGCAATTATAGGCATCCAGTCTTAATGGCTGCAGGAGAGAAGCCTGAGCCTCGGTGGCGCTCACGAAGTCCACAGCAACAGAGGCAGAAATTGCTCTGAAGCGGTGTGAACCTACCGGCTCCGGTGGTGGTGACCAGCTTGGGTTTGCTGCGCGCTCCGTCGCCTTTGGTCGTGTAAGCGGCGACCGTAACCGAGTACATGGTCTCAGCGTGCAGGTCAGTGAGGATTAATTCCTGGAAAAAAAACAGCAGGACACGAGTCATTTTCAACAAAAAGCTTTTGAAATCATTTAAAAAAAAGAACTCAAGAATGTGCTTGCTCACAAGTGTAAAACAGTAGTATGAAAGAATAAAGGAAAATGGGTCTGTACACATCAGGAATCATTCACTAATAGAATCAGTGTACTTTGCTTCTCATGGATAAAATAATTTGCTAAATGTATAAATGTGTTGTTACAGGTGCAAACACACATACATTTGTTCTTACCCTCATTGTAATGTTCATGCATCTGGATTACTTTTTATAAACGTATGCATGTCTGTAGGTAGCATTTGGCATAATAAATGCCCATGTAAAGGCATCATCACTTATTCTGCAATTATTATATTTAAAACAATAAATTAGAAAGACCTACTGTTGGGCCACTGAGTAATTCAGTTTCTTATGATAACATTATGAATAAACATTTTCAGTTGACACACTGCATGTTTCTGTGAGCTACAAAATGACATTAAACATCTACAGGCCAGCAAGCAATGCTCGTGTATGTTTGCAAATGATGCCGCATGGAATGAAATAAAGTGCAAAGCTGCATAATTCTGCGATGTACTCACATGTTCGGCTGAATCATCATACTCCCACTGAAGCCCAGACCAGAGAGCAGCAGGAGGAACAAACAAACAGACAAACAAGAAAAGAAGTTCAATTACACTTTGCTGGCGACGACATGAGAGAGTGTCAGATTATGCGCGTCTCTTCTGTTTCGGTGAGCGAGCAGATGCTGGGATGATGAATGATTCATAATTCTGGAGGATTCAAACAGCGTGTCGGTGTCTCTGCGTTGCATGCTGAGGTCAGGATGTGATGTGTCGTGTGAAATCAGACGGGCCAATCTCATCACGCTGTCCATTGTCTAACATGAAGGCACGTATAATCAAGCAGATAACAGGTCTATGCGCTGTGTGTGATTCATGGCACTTCATCATTAACCTCACATGGGAACATTAATGTCTAGGGACAGCCTTCATGTCATATGGATATGAAATAAAAGTTTAAATGAAACCGTGCATATCATACACTTACTGCCTTCTTTCTTAGTTATTAGTGAAAAATGACCCTTTGTGTCCCTCATTAACTTACAGTATGTGCAAATAAGAACTTTGAGTAGCTGTGCTATTTTAATACATTAGTAAAAATCCATTATTTTATGTTTAGCTGTCTTCTTCACTGTGAAACTTATGTTTCCTTGTTGTATTATCAAATATGCACAATTTAAATCAACTAATAACTAAAATGAAACACATATATGTATTCTCTGTCATGATGAATGTACTTATAATTGGCATCACTGCCATTATAAATAAAACAAGGTAACTTGTTCTAACCTGGTCCAAACTAGTAGACCATCTTAGACCAGCAATAAACCGGGACTATTTTTTTCTCCTCTCTAATCATGTTTTGAAATGGATTCTAGGATTGAAAAATGAAGCCACTTTCTGGTAACTAAGTAGGCAGCTCACTAGTTTGCTAAAGAGTCCTAAACTTCACATTTGTGTTCCTGCAGTCATGTTTTCTTGTGACACACACACACACACACACGCAATCAAAAGAGTTGGCAGCTGGCTGTATGAACTGTGTCATGACCACAGAACTCATCAAAGCCTGTAAAGATTGACTTGAGAAGCAGTGCAGCTATGCAGGTGGGTGCCTACCTGAGCGTCATCGATCAGGATGTCCTTGATGACAGGGTGACCACCGGGTTCTCCATTAACCATCCTGACATAGTGCACCTGGTACCCACGAATCTGGCCGTGCTGCCTGCTCGGCACCGGTGACCGCCACAGCACTTTAACAGACGTGGAGTTGACAGCCTCCACCTCGACTTTACGAGGAGGGCCACTGGGCACTGAGAGAATTATGGGATAGAAGACAGAAAGGTCAAGCTTAAAGACGACACCTCCTGTCCGACTGGATGTCTCCCCTGAGAAAGCGGTGAAGCAGACAAAAATGGGATTATATCATTAACAAGAACTGGATAACACTAATATCTCAACAATGGGAAGTCAAAAACAAAAAAAAGAGAGAGAGAAAAAAAAATCCCCAAAAACAGGTCACACAGCTGACCTAATTTTTTCGGAAAAAATGGGTTTAGTGGAGTCAAAATATGGAATAAAAACAAGCAAAAATAAGCCAAGAGGAGTGTTTCAGAGGTTTGAAGCACTCTAAAGGAGTTTGGCTATGATAGAGTGAAGACAAAAAGAAAAACAAATGGAAAAATTTAAGAAAAATGTCATCAGTGTGGGACCTTTGAGAAAAAAAAAAGCCCCATTTCTGAAGATTCACTGTCGATTTAGTCATCTTTTTTTCATGTATGAAAATGAGTTTCACTCCATTAAAAAGCCATTTCATTTATCTTAATAAGAAAATGGGGAAAAAACAGCAAGACATTTGGGATTGTTGGAAGTTTAAGGTCGTCAGAAGCACATGCCATGAAATAAGTCTGGTCAAGTAAAAAGTCAAAAAAATTCTCTCGAAAATTCTCCCAAAAATTGTCAAAGAGGGGAAGGGGATGTTGGTTTGTTGAAAGGTCACAAAAAATCCTCGTTTAGTAAAGTTAGTGTAAATAGAGGGAGCGAGAGGGGTGAGGGGTGTTAGGGTGCTTTGTGCAGAAGTCTGGCAGAAGTGGGGCGTGTTTTAAGGGTAGACATTAGCATTGGGTCACAGTGGCGTGTGAGTAAGACATACCATCCTCCTCCGTACGGATTAGCTGAGGTAAACTCTCAGGGCCTTCTCCTGCTTCAGTGTGGGCGCTCACTGTCACACGGTATTCCGTCCATTTCTCCAAGTTTTCCAACAGATAATGGTACTTTTCTGGCGGTATGTCCGAGACTTGATGCAACGAGGTATCATCGCCTTCGGTCGCTGCGTACTGGATGGTGTATCTGGTCATGATTCCGTTTTGGAGCTCCACCGGCGGCGGTTTCCAACTTACCAGAATGCTGGTAGAACTGGGACTAGTACACTTGACTTCCTGGGGAGGAGCTGAGGGCTCTGATTGGAGGATCAGAGGATTGTGGGAGGAGCAGAATAGTCATTGATCTCACATTGCGAGTACGAAGTGAAGCACAGTCAAGCTTGTCAGCATTAATTATTCATCAAATTAGGCAAGATTAATGAAGGAGTTCATCTAAAGGTTTGGTTACAGTTCAACATGAACGAATGAAGAATAAATATGAGGTCTTTTGGGAATGCAATTCTCTTTTCTAGCTACGTATCACTGCATTTGAGCTTACAACAAGGCTCCAGAGGGAACCTCTACAAATTTGGTAAATCTTTCAAATGCAGTGTGGTATACAATAGCCAAAGTCAAAAAACAAGGCACCCAGAAGCTGAACGACTGCAGACAAACAGATGAATAATTCAGTCTCATCTCTTACTTGGCTAATATATGATGCCAAATTCAACAAAGTGACCTTGTCATTTGACTACATCTTCCACAAATTGACTTTCATTCAAACAAGATGTGCGCTAACAGCACCCTCAAGGCAGAAAACAGAAATGTCTCCATCTCTCAAAAATCTCAGTGTAAACCACTGCTCAAACAAATTCAGGATTACATTAGCAAATGCTGTTGAGAAATGGAGGATTTCTGCTCTGTAAAGTGCTGCACCTGTTCTTGAACCGCTGTGTTTGGGAAAGACAGTAAAGACAGAAAGGGACCTACGTGTCTGAGGTGTTTCGGCTGAGATCTCGTTGGTGTATGCGCCGATGCCGTGTTTGCTGCGAGCGGCCAGCTGAAACGTGTAGGTAGTGAATGGCTTCAGATCTTTTAGTAAATAGGTTGTGGTGGGCTCAAAGCTTACTCGTTTCTGAGGAAGGGACAAGATGAAAAAAAACTAAGTTGAAAACCCCAGAAAATAGAGTTCATACAGTCAACCCAAGCAATGACAATGACATCAATTGTGGGAGGAGCGAAGGCGTTTGCCAACGACTGTTCATGTTCGGACCTCCTCTTTGCCATCTCCTTTCTTATAGAGCAGCTCGTATCCGACGATTTGATTGTCCTGGCCCGTCTGAGTCGGGGGGTTCCACGACAGCAAGATGCTCGTCTCAGATTTGGCTTCACCTTTGAAGTCCGTTGGTTGAGAGGGCACTATAAAAATGTTATAACAAATAACAGAAATTATACAAATGTAATTTCCATTGCAGTCATTTCCTTTCATGTTTGTATCATGGGAATACATTAGTGGACAAGCTTAGTCCTCCTGGAGTAACCGGAGGTTCAATGTACAATAGTGGTAGTTCATGGACTGTCCCATAACTGATTCAATTGTGATTCAATTATTAATATTGGCTATGTGTATGAATAAAGCCCATCCAATCAGAGTTATGAGTCTTTAGTTTTAAACTCATAAATTGCTTTTACCACGAATCATCTGATCTTTTGCTTTGTGTCCACCAAATTACAAATTAAAACAGAAAATATATCAAATGAAGTAATTCATTCAGGGGCTTAAACCAAAATACACATTACCACACAACACATGTTTATGTTGAATATCCAGCAAAAATAACCATAGTGTAAAAAATGTGTATATACAGTATATACAAATTAACAAACCTTATGACAAGCTTTTGTCTCCACCAAGTATTATAATACTTAAAAAAAAAAGATAACTGCAAAAAGGAAACAACAAGAGCTGTTATTCCTGTCATTCCCAACACCCACCTCCAGTTTTGGCTATGATCTGCAAATCAGATGAGAGCGGTCCATCTCCTACAGAGGTGAAGGCCAGGACCTTGATGTAGTAAGTCTTATTGGGCGTCAGGCCCGGAATGGTGAGGAAGTTGGAAGTCCTTACAATCTGTTTCTCCCATTGGTTGACATGTTGGCTGGGATCGGTGGTGTAGTAAACCCTGTAGCCCGTAATCTGCCCATTTGCCTCCTCGGGTTCATCCCAGTGGATGATGGCGGTCGTGGCACTTAGCATGCGCCCTCGGACTTGCCGCGGGGCGGTACTCGGTGCTTGCTCCGCTGTTTTGGACTCAATGGCTTCGCTGGGAGGCCCGTGTCCAATGTTATTCACTGCGACTACTCTGAACTGGTAGTCGGAGTAAGGGCTTAGCCCACCCACGCTGTATCGAGTGGTGGCGACTCCATCGATCTCTTTAAAAGAGTCCTCAGAGTTTTTGGGCTTGTGCTGGATGATGTAATAAGAAACAGGTTCGGGATTCCCAGAATCCCATGTGAGCGTAATGCTTGTTGCTGTGCGTTCCGTTACCTGGGGAACACCTGGTGGCTTCGGTAAAGCTGGAGCAACAATAAAGAAGCTCATCAGTGAATTTCAATTATTTGGAAAATGGAAAATCCACTGTAATATAGTTACTTACGATTACTGGAGCAATATTAATGACTGTGGGGGGAAATCACTAAAATTGAACGGTGCCCACTTTAGTGCTTGATTCGATAAAGGAAATATCCAAATCAGTTAAAGCCACAAACCCACCTACTTGTCCCAGACAAGCGTTAATGTCAACCCCTGAGGTGCATTCTATAATAAGCCTAATTTATTTGCAAAAAGTACCATTTCAACACTTTTAGTGCCTGGATTTGCAAATGGTTAGTGAAGATGTGAGTTGTTGCTCTGAAAATGGCACCCATGCACGTATCAGTTTAGTGAATTCTCCCCTCACTCTCAAAGGACATAAACATTTTTAAATATTTGAAAACTAACAAACAGGTGTGAAATGGTTCTTCACCTGGTTTAGAGGAAATGTCTTTGTTGTGTGTGCTATTGTATTGGTAAGCTATGCAATGTCGTATGGCTTTGTCATTAGCATTCACGAACCATGTGCTCTTCCCTTGGGATACTAGCCGAAGGTTAAAGTGTCAGCTTGCTCTGCCAACACAGGAACAGTAGATGTGGGTTATAGCACTGTTTGCCGCTAATGTAATACAGCAAAAGAACTCAGAGTCTTGACAGTACCTCTGCGATAAGGAGAAAACCAAGTTACCCCAGAGAAAAGAGAGGCTCTCCGGTTTGTTTAGAACATGTCTTAAATATTCCACGGGCTGTAATTTATTGCTTAAATTCAGAGCGCATTAGGTGAGGCTGGCGATAGGACAGATAATGTTTAGTCTTTGCGTGCTGTCCCTTGGGGCATATTATGACTAATGTGATTTTGTTATGTCTGCTGGAGACAAAGGCTTTGTGTGTGTGGATGTGAACAGCTGTAAGTGTGTCAGCCTGTTTGAGCTAACAAGTGTGCCAACAGTAGGAGCTTGTGAATTCATCTGCAGAATGCGATAAGACAGATCAAATAACAGGAGCTTGGTGCTGGTTGGAATGTTAAGTATCAAGTCGTCTCGTGGATTCTCACCTTTGACCGTAATCTGTGCGACCGCCTCTATAACGCCCAGCGTTGACATGGCGACGCATGTGTAGTTGGCCGACTGCCGGACGTCGGTGAGTTCCAGCACGTTTCGCCCAATGGGCATGTCATCTTCAGGGGTCAAATCCTCCGACCCCAACATCCATTTAACGTAGGGCATCGGTGACCCGACGGCCACACAGGTGATGTTAACGCTGCCACCGGGCATGATCTCATTGTCCGTCGGGGGAATGGAGAACCGGGGAGGAACCCGTCTCACTGCAAGAGAACACAAGTCCTGGTAACTTCCCGTCCAGACGTAGGCTTAAGGAACATTTGGGAACATTTAACAGGTGAGGACCTGACAAAGATCTGGTGGATTTCGCCACTACACTGTTTCAAATTATTGAGATATAGCAGGATCCAACAGGAAACTACTGCACATGTACTGCACACAAACATTGCGCTTCACTCCCATTGGTCTGGGACACTGAAGCAGACGCCATGCACAGGTGACCCACGCGTGACACATGGACAGCAGCACACGGGGGAACTGGAGGGCCACAGCATGCAGGAGTTGTGTGCGTTTGTACAACTTCGATGCTGCGTTCACTTCCAGTTGATGTGAAGGAATGTGCCCAATCACATTGCCACATCACACACACAGCGAGGAGCCCCATTGCAGGGTCGCCGCTAACTAACAATGGGTAGAGACTAGCTGTGACTGTCTGCGGCTGCCATTCAAAAAGTGGACACACGTGTCAACGTAAACGGTCGTGAAACCGTGAATAAACAAGGGTGATGACAATGGAAGGCTGAATCTGAAACGGAATCAAAATGAAAATGAACAGATGCAACAAATTAATAAGGAGAGAAGAGGATGAGGGGGAGGACTAGTAGAGTCAGATAACAGGAAATCAACAGGGCTATTAAAAGCAGGAGTCTCCAAGACAGAAAGAGAGAGAGAGAGAGAGAGGGATAATATGTGCCAGCTCCTCAGAAGAGGGTTTTCGGGACAGCAGAAGGGTGGGAGAAGACTCGAGAGGTCCAGAATAACTGAACCGATGTCAGTGTTACTGCTTACATACTGTCAGTCTCAGATGGCAGCGGCTGATGTATAATGCACACAACAGTGGCAGGAGCTTTCTCAAAGCGACAGGCTCTGCTGGCTTTACGCAGCTTCTGGGAGCCAGTGTGCAGCGGTTTATATCAGTCCTGCTACAATGAGCCCATCTGAGGACAACGAATCATTGGATTTGACAAAGTCTGTGAGGTTCATCATAACAAATCTTTGTAGAGAGTTTTAAGACACTTAGTGGCAGTAAACTAGATCAGTGTTTCCCAAACATGTTCCTGGAGTCACACAGACAGTACACATCTTCAGAGATTCAGTTCTCTTCAGAGAACCATATAAGGGAGAGCTCCAAAAAGTGTACTGTTGACGTGCAACCAGGAACAGGGTTGGGGAACGCTGAACTAGATGTCTATGATTAGAACATTACATTCCACTAAGGAGGGGTTCCTCAAATCTGGGCCCTGGAGGGCCACTGATCTGCAGAGTTTGACTTTAACCCTAATAAGACATGGGAACAAGCTAATTAAAGTCTTCAGAGTTACAGGTAGGTGAGTTTAATCAGGGTTTGAGCTAAACTCTGCAAGCTCAGATTTGAGGAATCCTGCACTGTGGTCGGGGTTAAATCCCATTTACCTGCTCCTACTCGTCACATCTCCTCCTGTTTACGTGGACGGTTCTTGGCCAGGATCTTGATTACATCACTTGCAATTACAATAACAGCAGGATGAACCTAAACCAGTGTTTAGCGAGGAGTTAAAGTCTCTTTAAGTCTTTAACCGCCAGAAATGGAAGAAGGAAAGATAAGAATTTCGACGACGTGCGGCATGCATTCGACCGGAGATGTCGCGCTTCTCTGGAGATTAAATCTCTAATAATTGCGAACAGATTTTCAATCCTATCGCAATTAATTTCCAATTGAAACGCTGTTCCGGGAGACATTCCGGGAGACATTCCCTTTCATCTGAATACCGTTCCGTTTGTCGAGTCTTGAGAACAATGCTCTACATGCATCAACTGTCGTTTATTAGCAGCTTGTTAGGTGGAAAGGAAAGAAAATATCTGATCTCACAGAACTACGGAGCACAGCTCATCACAGTTCATACCGTGGTGAAGGTCAGCGAATGGGAGCTTGTTTCTAGGCGTTAGGAAAGCACGTGACGGTCAAAGTAACGAAGCAGGACCACTGACATGTGGGAGAAGACAGACAACTTCAGCATGACCAATCCACCATGCAAACCCCCCGAAAACTGCGCACATTTTGACTGACATGCACCACTTTTTGGTCAAGCAGTACAGCAGAGAGCAGGAGAGCATTCGTTCAGACCACAACAAAAGGGAAAAGAAGAAGAAGAAAAAAAAAAACGGTCCAAAACATAGAACATAAGGAACCAAAAGCAGAATTTAATCATAGACACGCAAATGCAGCTACAATGATTTTTTTCGTACTCTTGGGAATTGTGACTAGCGTCTGTATCATTTGTTTTCTGAGTTTGAAGATGGTTAGAAAGAAAAAACACACCAACCTTCTCGCAGCTCTGAGGGATGTAGGGAATAGATTCGGAAACAAAATAAAATGAGGAGAAAAACAAGGGAAAATACAGAGAGAGTAAAACAGGCCACATTCAACCCAGATAATTGCTGCTAGAGACAGAATGTCTAGGAAAAGAAAAGTGTGCTGCATTTTACAGGACTTTTATTGCGCTGCCCATTAAACAATATGACACAGGTCCAGTTATGAGCTTTACATGCCATCAGCAGTTACTGTGGTCTGGACTGACTTTCTTCTGGAGTTTTGATCATGCAGTATTTGAGAAAAAAACAGTGGTTCTTCATGTAAACCACATGACTGGGACCTGTGCATGAATATAGCTGCACTCTATAAAGCAGTAACGTGTTTGTTTGAGCAGCGCTGGACATCAGGCCATCAAGGTTTATAAAATGGAACATATTTTGGCAGCAGTTTATGACAAATTCGGGCTTAAAGTCAACATGAAATCATAAGCACCGTTTTCTGATTAATACTGGATACTCGGTGGTGTGCTTGGTGAGCAGGTGTTTTTTTTTATTTACCATCCAATCATTTCCTTATGGTTGAAATCAAGAAAATCAAGGTATTTTCTCTTGTTTTAATATGAAATTCGTCACACAATCGAAGTCAAATTGGCTGCGAACACAGTTTCATGTTGACTTTAATGTGCCAGATTATACAGATGTTCAATCATAAGTCAAAATCAAATAACATTTAATATTTTATATTTATACAGTGGAGTGATTCTTCAGTTATATGACCTTCTGACTGCTTGAAAAAATAGTTCATTAAATATTTATTCAAATATGTTGGGTAAGTTATTTAAGTTATTTCTTTTATTTTATTGATAACACACTCAAAAAATGGATTTCAAATAGTGACCAATTAGGTCATTACATCTAATAAAGTTACTCTCCAATCATGATGTAATAATCTTAAAATGAATATTTCAAAATGTCACTTCTCATTTCCCAGATAACTACATATAAACCCAAATACACAACAGCAGTACTGAGTAATTCTATTGCAGCTCTCTGACATAATTTCAGACTACGATAATCTGTCCATTAAAACTACTGTGCTTTTTAACAAACACTTTATTTAATCATCCTAGCATACAGAAGTCTTCACTTAATTGAAGAATCATCCATATTCATTACATTACAGGCTTTAACTACATTTCAGATCAAATATTGCACTGAATTTAAAATAAGATTATATTGACCACAATTTATGTTTTTTTTTTGTTTTTTTTTTTTTTGCTTTAAAATAAAGCTCCAAAATAAAGAAAAATAGTTGTATTCCATGTTTGTCAATAAAGAGAAAAAACAGAGCACTGAGACATTTGCTGTAGAGAGTAAAGAGGTTAAACTCAATTTGTCATTCCTGTTATCTTACGAGTCAGTCGTATTACACACACAAGCATTCAAGTCAATAAAGGTTAAGTTGAAATGAAACACCAGACAGGCAGAAAATCAAGGCTGCAGCATTATGTCGTACTTACAAAAATGCTCATGCAACCAGAGGAACCCCAACAAGAAAAGTGACCCGCTATTCGGCTCAATTTGTTTCAAAAGTGTGTGCGTCTGAGTTTTTATATGTTCTTTTGTCGGCTTTGTTTACCGCCGTGAGTTGTTCCTACCTCTGACATACAGGTTGGCAGGTGAGGAATAGCGCGTGCCATCGTTGTTGGTCGCGACACATTCGTACTTCCCTTGGTCCGATTCCTCGCTTTGTTCGATTTGCAGCGCTCCTACACAGTGGGAGAGAACACGAGCAGAGAAAGATAATTACAATAATAACACCAGCCATTAAACAACTTTCACCAAATCACACGCTAGGACAATTTCTCTCTATAAATGGCGTTATTTGTTCTGTTTAGATCTCCGTAAGGGTGAACGCCACAAAATGGCTCGGGCTAAAGGCCTGCCGCTATACTGACGCTTAACCCTGAGAGGCGACATCTGCAGGCATGCCTCGCATTGGACAGCTCGGTACAGACTTAACCAGTTTATGCAAGCTAAGCTCCTGGAAGCTGGGGGTAGAAATGTTTCCCCTTAAAATGTCTAATGCAGTGTTTCATTCTCTAGGCCCGATGCAATATGGGAAAGCAATTTTGGCACTAAAGATGGATTTCACGGTGGATCCGCGATGCATATTATGATTTTGTCAGGAATGGAGTCATTTCGAGGTGCTTAAATCGAAGTGTGTTGCGAGCTCGTATCTCGCCATGCTGACTATCTAGGCGCCGGCCTAGAGAAGAGCGCGACGAGCACTGCAGTAGACATTCGAGAGGGCACACAGAAAGAAACCAAAAGAAAAGAGACTTTGCAGCGTTAATTATCTCGGACATTTTACAACCACATCAATGGAGAGGAAAACATACAGTACAGGATACATGTTGCAGGGTTTCTAAAGGCACTTAATCGTACGGGTGGTTCAAAATCGTTTGAGCTTTACTGTTTAGAAAAACAGTTGTGATAATAATAATAATTGATAATAATACTGATCGGTTATTAATTGAGAGGTCTACAAAAGGTGATGGGGGGGGGAGGTAGCCCTGCAATATTATTACACATCTCACAGGACTGTTCATTATGGGAATGAGTGAAAACTGCAATACAGCAGCATATGACTCAAATAAAAAAAGGTTTACAGTATACAAAAGCAGCATAAAGGGGGGGGGGTACAATTAAAAAAAAATTAATTTGGATCATAAAATTTGGTGTTCAATTCAATTCAAATTGATCGCTCAATAAAATGGCCAAGGACTTCAGATGGTGGAAGTCAGTAAAAATCGCAGCATTTTCAGGAAAAATGCGCTGCTCGAATCGTAAAAATGGAAGAAGAAAAAAATCTGTTGGGAGAATTATCGTTACCAGTACATAAACCTCCAGCACATGCAAATCTTTCCAAAGAACAAGAAATGTGTGTCGGCACAACTTACAACCTTTTGACAACCCTTAGCTGAAAAATAAAATGCAATTGTATTAGAGGTCAAAATTCAAAACGGCTTGCGCCGACAAGAAAGCAACCAATCACTGCCATAGCTTTGTGCTACAAATGACACCCATAAAAATCCACCAATGGGATCAGCAGTGTGGTGTCACATGACCCAGGGAAAAAGGTTTCTTGCAATGCACCGAAGCACCGCCTCCTGAGGAGCTTGACCAAAAAACAAAAACACAAAAAAAATGACACAAAACAGCCACCTCGGTTTCGTCTGTCAGACCCACTGTTAGCTTTTCCCCAACCCTGAAGAATGGAAAAAATAAAAACGTCAAAAAGGAAAACAGCCTTCAACCCAAGAAAAGCAAGAAGGAAAAAATAGGTGGTGGAAAGAAAAAAGCACCGCAGAAACTTTATCAAAAAAGTGGTTGTTTGGGCTTTTTTAGCTCCTTTTGAGAAGGGTACAGGTAGAGGAAAGCAAATGGAGGACGAAGAGCGAAAAAAAGAAGTTTGTAAAGACAGAAAGATGCTTTTTGGGGAAAAATCGTGGCAGAGAGGTCTTCGGCGTGTCTCCGACATCTGGGCTCATGTGAGGCTGAGCAAGAACACAGCTAAGGGGGGAAAAATGTTTGGCTGTTTTAGTTGGACGAAAAAAGGGACACATGATCTGCTATGGCCAAAAGATAAGAAAAATAATAAAAAAACAATGAAATAGAAGAGAAAAAAAAAAACACGTACAGGATATGCTTCTTTGGGCTGCAGTAAGCATATCGGCTTGGAAGAAAAAAACAAAAACAACCAAAATACAAGAGGCTTTCTCGAACTGAAACCAAAACCAAACCAAAGAACCAAAAAGCGCTGAGGCGAAAATGGTGAGATATGGAACAGAACGGGATGGAGGAGGGATGATGGGAAGATGCCGGGGCGTTCGATGGATGCAGACACATGAGGGACAGGAAGAATGAAGTCAGTTGTTCATTCTGTGAACTTGAGTTGAGCACTCTTACCTCTTATTGGCGTACCACCTGGGTGGATTATATGAATGCAAATAAGATTAAGAAAGAAGAGTCGTTAGTGCGAGAAGAGAGGCTGGCCGCTTTGGAAGAAGAATCAAATTAGCTTTGCTTTGCTTTCTTACAGACTGTATTAGGCTACAACAGGAAAGAGAGATTCAGAAAAGACAGCCATTGGCTCTAGTGGAGAAAAGCACAGGATTGAGCATTGGTCACTTTAGGAGGTCAAAGAGCAACTGGCACAGTGGATGAAGCACAAGGGGCCGTTCTGAGACCTGTGGCAGTGGCCGTGATCTAGCGGGAGAGGGGAGCTGAGGACTGATTGACTGGGAAACAGTGGAGAGTCTTTGAGCTGTGAGCTTTAGAGACACAGATGGAGTGAGAGTGTCAGTGTCGGTCCTGCCAGTGTGGCCCTGAGCGTGTGCTTTACTGCTAGTCAGCTAGTCAGTGTGTTCTGCTGGCCTATTGACACCGTTAGTAAAATGCATGCCATGCATTTTAACAGTAGTTTGAGAAACATAGTGGAGACATTAGTGGGAGGCATGTGTGTTCAGATCTACAAACTTACCAAAGGACTCTGGAGATTTACAAAACAGAGAGAAGAAAGACAGCATAGAAAATATGATTATATTCCTTACGTTTGCTCTGGTTGACACACTTAAATCTGACACTCTATTGTACAGGGTGAAAATCAAGAGAGAAATCAGACAACGGCAGAAAACAGGACAAGGGCAGAGCGGAGGACTCTGGGAAGACATGTCGTAGCATCGAGGGCTGGAAAACACATCGGAGCAACTCGAGCGACACGGTCAGCTTACGTATTTGCAAAACGAAATGTGGGTTTTGCGCTACTTAAAAAGAGACCACCCGGTGCAAAGAATCACCAACGTGTTCAGTCCTGAATTTGGTCAGTTGGATGCACAAACACACAACGAGGGTCAGATAAACACACACACAAAAGGACGCTTTTTTTTTTTCTTTTTTTTGCTCGTTTTTGGGCATAATCGAGGTTCGCCAGGTCGCGTGCTGCATCATGATATGAGAGCAACAAACAAAACAACTTTGATGATTCTTTCGAGAGCTCTGAATGAAGCCAGATCTTACTCATTGCGCATTGGAGGAAGAAAAATAAGGACATGGAGAATGACACTTATTTATTATGCATGGTTCGGCTGCTTTTTGCAACTAAGTGTTCAAATGGAAACAAAACAAAGCCCAATTTAAGCTAGCCAAAAATGCAGTCATAGCAGTGAATCATGGGTAATAAATTAAACAGACAGGAACACAAGACACATCACACACAGAGGGGACGCAGACGACGTAGATGCCGTTTCCTACAGAAAAGCAAAGAAAAGGCTCCATGAGAAAGAACAGAAACTCAAACGGAAAGAAGGACAATAGTGGCTCTTGTCGCTGCTTTTCTTCTAGCGTTACGGAGGGAAATTACCTGATCGGAGCTGTTTGATGCGGCCGTTGTTGTTACTGGTGTTGACCGGGAGGAAGTCTTTGAACCAGGAAATGTCTGGGTCGGGGTTACCACTAGCAGCACAGAGCATGGTGGCAGTACGGGTGCGCTCCACCACCTTGAGCTGGGGACCCATATCTATGGTGGGGAAACCTGGGGGCAGCTGATCCTCTGAAACACAGGAACACCAGCACCATTACACACAAACACACTTTCGCTGAAGCTGCTGCTGCTGGAACCTGGAGAAATTTGGGGTGAAGAAAGACACACACACACACACACACACACCTCGTGTCCTCATCACTTTTTAGCAGTAAGCATTTGAGTAACATTGACAATAAATAGAATTCAGTAATTTTTTAACTCTAGAAGTCAATGCTCGATTACTTCACCTTTAACCATCCAACTTCCACATACGGTTTAATTATGTTTGTGTGACCTCGTCATTTTTCAATAAACACCAATAGAACACCACAATAGAAAAATTATAGTTGGTAAATCATGAAAGAATGGGTTTGCAAGTAAAAGGGTTACGAATGTGTATTCTAAATTAGGCTGGTCTGGTTTATAGCTATATATAAACTTATATTTCTCTTGCATTGTTGAATTATCTTTACAAAAATAGAAACAATATATTTTTTTCAATAATCATTTGGAAAAAAATAAGTGACATTCTCTTCATCCCTCAAACATCACAAGAAAACTTGTAAAAGTGTTACAATACCATGAATAAAGGCTAGACAAACAGATGAACAGCTCAACCCAGATGTGATGAATTCTAATAAAAAATATGAGAGCAAGGTAAGAATTACAAAAATGTTTTTGTTGTTGTTACATAATGAAGAATTGTGTCCAAAATAATTATTTTAGAATTATTTAGCTCCAGACCCACTATAAATCTCTTTCAGATATACTGGTGGTGATTTGTTTTGTGTGGTACATTCATACATTCATTATTTACCCATTTTACTACTTCAGTAATTCACTCATTGGTGAATTTCAATATCCACATATTCATGACAAAACGAAGCTTAAAGATAAATAAATAAATACCTAGCAGTCTGATGGAACTCAAGTTTGACCAACATTTTCTGAAGGTTAACGACCTCTTGCGTGTATATGTGTGTGTTTCTGTGAACCTACAGCAAACACAAGCAATCTAAAACAAACAAGAAGTCAACAAGCCTCTAGGGAACATTACAAGCACACACACACACACACACACACACACACACACTGTGATAAGCACTGAGCTACACAAACATGTCCTGGGATTCTCTTTCCATGAACCTCAGTTCGGGTATACAAAAACAAAAAATACAACTTACACAGATATATCGCATCTCTTTCACTGTTACAACTGCTTCCACTGCATTTTACCAGGCTTTTGGATCATTTGTGTAAAATTTGATTATACACGTGCAATGAAATACTGTAGATTTACTTCTGAATAGAGCAAACAAGCCTCTATGATAGCTGCTGTATCACTATACAGTTCCAGCTTGCATGTTGACAGTTCCAGGGCCATTTTCTCTTTTTTTCCAGAAAACAGTGAAGGATTTGAATGAATGTATGACAGACAACGGAATAATATCCCTGTCTAAATAGTGACTAAAGAGTGATTATGACACTTCAGCGCCTCAGAGGGAGGAATCTGCTGTAATGGTGGATTTCCTGCATCTCATAAAGAGCTTGAAACGCTCCTCATTGTCTCGGAAATCATTATAACGCTCTTTCAGAGTGCTGTGATTCAGCGAAGATTTGAAGATGTCCTTAATTTATGCCAACCAAGTGCCAAGGTCTGCATTTCGAAATTTATACATCTCAAGGTTTAATTCATAATTTAAACACCTCAGTAAATGTAAATGATCTCAGTACAATAGGGCGCTAAATTGTAATGAAAATAATGTCACAATGCCAAAAAAAAACAGCTTTATGCAAAATACAGTTTTGATTTTGAGGGGGAAAGATGACCTGGACATGTTCTTTGCATGTTTCATGATTCATCCATTTGAAATAAAACACAAAAGCAGCAGCACAGCTGATCTGTGATGTCCAGAATTGCCTGATGTTCCCCATGTTATTCATTTAAAACACTTTCAGTAATCATCCCTTGTGCATTAACACAAATTTTCATATCTTTGTGCACACATTCTACTCTAAATCCTCTTGTGACCTTCACAGTCTGTGAGCTACATAACGCAGTGGATGAGGGTCTAATTTTAGCTCTTCTGTGGTGTGTAGGCATCGTCCGTTAGAAGGTACTTGGCAGCTAAAGTTACGCGTCAGTCTGTTTTCCTAAACATGCAGGTATAAAATTACGACAAAAGCTACAGAAAGCTGCTGAGGGATCATTTTGATGTCTAACTAATACTTGCGTCTGATCCCAACATGGTGTCACACAAGCTGATAGTGGATTTAATCTGTTGTGGTGTGATATGTCTTGTTGGTGAGTTTAGCTGCCTTCACAATGATATACAATTAGAGTCTGCTTAATATGGTTTAGCAATTTACCTCACTTCTGTACTTCTGTGCATCATGTATGCAACTCATATAACCCCCATGCGCAACACCTACTTATTATCATAAAGATTAAAAATTGTGATCGACTAAGGACTGGCGTGCCCCAAGGTTCAGTACTAGGCCCGCTGGTCTTCTCAATGTACACTACAGCAATTATAAAAGGCACACAACTTTTTCTATTACTGCTACCCACATATGTCGCAGCCTATCTCGGCCTACCTTTTCTGGGTTACTTTTGAAATTCACTCTTTCAGGACTGCTAATAGCTATGGCTCCTTTATGATAAATGGCTTGTGTTTTTCATCTTTCGTAAAATGAATGAATGTACTAAATGATTTAATGTGAATGTTGGCTTAGTGTTTCATCTTATTCATCTGTCGCCTGTGTTCAATGCAGAATATGTCACTGCAGAAATGACCAGATTCATGCTCATGCTCACAATCAACTCTGCTAATTTATTTGCAAGGTTTATGGAAAGGCCAACAAATAACATACGAGACACTTATCCAAAGCACAGCACAATGCTAATTGCGTATTGGCTGTGGGTGTGTTTAAGTCTTTAAAGCAATGCCAAGGTCGACATGTGAATCAGGCTCTTTAAAACGACCCAAATTTCACCTGCCATAAAGCCAAGTGCCTGCAGTCAACCTTAGAGGAACAGAGGCAATGCACCTAATAATTATCGAACGTGACAATCCATGCTGCTTGAAAATCAATGCCTTTCAGGCTATATGTATTGTTGGAAATCACAATATGCCTGTGAGACTATACATTTTCTCTCCTGAGAGGAATCGATATTTGGTCTCCGTTGTGCAATATAGAACCTCGAATTCTCCTTCCACCAAAGCGGCAAGAACTCGACAAGTTCAGCGAAATACATTTGTCCTTGGTCCTCTCCGGGCATGAGGGAGGCTTTCCCTGGGATATTTTCTATTCATATTTCTCAAACTAACAGCAAAAGACTTTCTTTAGCTCCGCTGCATAATTAAATATGGATTTCTGGAGTCTGGCATTGTTTTAGCAGCACTTTCCATGAATACACTGCACTTTGGTGTCCCTTTCTTTCAAAGCATAAGAGGCACAAATCCAACACTGTTTTCTGCTGTGGGACGCATTCGATTTGTTAGATAAACTACGATCTAAAAGAAAATTAATTTAGCATCAGAGGTAGCTAGTTTTAAAAACATCAAATGTCTTTTTTGAATGCCTTGCTGATTTTTAACAATTAAAATTATTAGTATTGTCATCCTTTTGACATAATCTACAACAGGGTGCCCAACCCTGTTCCTGGAGATCTACCTTCCTGCAGAGTTTAGCTCCAACCCTGCTCAAACACAGCTTAACCAGCTAATTAGTATCTGAAGGAGCACTTGATAATTACAGACAGGTGTGTTTGATCAGGGTTGGAACTGAACTCTGCAGGAAGGTAGATCTCCAGGAACAGGGTTGGGCACCCCTGATCTACAAGATTGTGGCTTTGCAATGAAGGAAACTCATTCAGTGACATATCTGGGATTCGTTTGGTGCTCTTTTATACTTCAAACAATCCCAAATATCCCTTCTGTTTTACTGTTGATGCATTTTTATAGCAAAATGCACATTTTGACACTGAGGAAGTGAGATTTAAGCACCACATTTGCTATTTACAAAAGCAGTGTCTCCACCGATAGCATGACAGAAAATAACTATTAACTGACACTGTTGATCGAGATTCCTGCACACTTTCATCTTGACATTGGCATCTAACAGAAACCAAGAGCATTTCACAAAAATCAGTGGTGTATTTTAATACAAGTCAGTAATTGTTCGCTTTACCATTAATTGTTCGTGTGTGTGTGTGTAACCCACACACACACACACACACACTCACACTCACACAAAATGAATCAGCATTACATTTATAAATCACCTCACGAATTAAACGGTACTTCACTCTGCCAGTTCTCTGATTAACTGTTGAAAAACGCCACGGCAGAGGCAGAGATGCGTACTCAAGCTAACGGCGAGCAAAAAACCGCTGTTAATTGTTATTTAATTTGTGCTCTCCACATGATTGTAAGCTTTTCGAGGAGAAAGGTTATTGACGAAAACATTTCAAAGCATAAATTAATTGAGCTGCGTTTGCCATATGCTATGCTAGCACTTCTGCTCGCGGCCACGGTGAGGTTTTTCTGCTAGAGGACGAATAAATCACAGCCAGGAGAGCGAATAGGAAAACAGCAGTGTAGGTCGATTCAGAAGGTGAGGGCAAGAGGAATTTTGGAGTTACGAAGGCAAAAAGCAGTGATACGATTAAAAGTTAGAAGCGCATGAGATCATTTTTCTCACACTCGCATTTACCATCTTTAACATCAAGGGCAAAACGGATCCCAAGTGCTCACCTGAACTCTCATTATACACTGGAGTACAGTATATCTCCCTTCCTCACATCACCGGACGCAGAATAATGGCACAGTCGCCCTGTGAAGAGTGTCGCCAGCCGTCTCGGGGCGAAAGAAAACCCCCCGGTGACCATTTACACACATTAATGACGCTCAGGTCATCGAGCAACCGATGGATGTTCTGCCTAATACACTGCTGACGGGGGAATGGCACCATGTGACTTCAGAAAGTGTTAGACTGCACTTCATCTCATGCATTCATACATA